ATGGAAAAGTTATGCAAAGGGAAGAGAGCTGAAAGTCGGAAGGACAGTGTCCAATATAAACAATCTCTTTGTTCAACACTGCTAGAATAAAAGGTGGGCTGGGGGAGGGGCCGCCTGCTGCTGGAGCCCCAGTGCATTCTTTTATTTCAGTCAGTGTGCTCCAAAAGCAGTTTTATTTCCCCACGAGTTCCAAGTCTGTTGTCACGGTTTTCACTCGGTCACATGAATTGTTTGTCCCCGGAGAGAGCCGAGATGTTCGTCAGGCTTTGGCGGGCCCTCCCTGCTAGGAGAAAAAGGCGATCGCGCTATCCGGGAGAAGCGGTGGGAGGCAGGGCAGTGATGGAGGATGCAGGCAGGCTTACGGTTGACATGTACGTGGGAGGGACGGAGAACGACAGGCAGGGATGTGATGGGACTTAAGGAGTGGGAGCAGGAGTCACAGGGAGAGAGAGAGAGGAAGTGCGGGGTTGGGAAATCAGAGTCAAGTTTCCCAGCGGCTGCTGCTCAACATCCCACCATGAGAGCTTATAATGATACACAGCGGAGTCAAACTTTACACAGCCCGGAGCTCTAACACGTACCAAATGTTCCAACGCAGTTACTGACTGCAGGCACTCCTCAGTCGTTTTCATCACTCAGAGACAGACGCCATGTCTTCGTGCCAAAGAGACCATATCTGTGGCTCTGCTCCAGCTTAATACAGTGTGTCTTTAACGCCCGTTTGTTTGTACATTCAGTGTTGTGATGATAGAAGGACTTTTCCCTGCTGTCACACCCAGCAGCGCTTTTTTCTGGTCAGTGACAACAGCACCCGTACTAGAACAAACCTGCTCTGCTGAGTTACAGTTAATGAACATGTCCACACTAATGAAGACACATTTGAAATAGGGGTGGGTAAAAATATGGATACGGCAATATATCGCGATACTTTGCCGCCCGATACATACCCACCCTTCTCACACAACATCTCCCCACCAGCTACTAGGCAACCGCCTCCCGAACAGAAACTAATATGCATTCATCCACGCTTCACCGGACCACCACAATGCACGCATACAGGACAAGTTCACGGCCTTCAGATAACTTCTCGAAGGATGGACTTCGACATGTGGGCGGCCACCGCACTGGAGATCCGAACAACCAACTTCCGCCGCAGTTAGGGGACGACCCGCGACGTCTCGGGCTCTGCGGCCCACAGCCCAGTACCAGTACCGAACCGCAGCACACAGAACTCAAACATCCCTCCAACAGGACACCGACAGTTGAACTCAGCACCTCTCCTAAAACAACGAAACCACTCCAACGTTCATAAGACCTTCATGAGAGGTGGAATTTATATTCGGCACTCTGTTTCATTACGACCAGTTAGACATTCCATCCACCAAGAACATCGAATGCGTCAGCCCATATGCCAAACAAAAATAAACCATAAAATCAAAACCACATAACTAATCATACTTTCACCTATTCCAGCTCAAGATTGTATCGTCCCACACTACAGAATTTACCTTCTATCTACTAGAAAAAATACTTTCTTGAGTCACAGTGTTTGGGCCAACCTCTGCTACCCTCTAATGATCTAGATATATAAATCGAACTCGGCTACCTCCTCTCCGGTCAGGACTTGTTTTAGAAAAGGATTTGTCAGCTGGGAAGACCGGTACTCCTTCCCACCTGCTATGTTTTACTGATACTAGGTGAACCCAACCCTTTTAACAGGGTTTGGTTTCTCCCGGTTGAAGGAAAAGCTTATAGACGACTTTCGTTGGCAAACTCCCACCATGAAGCTCTCTGAAGGGACAGCCATGTTTCCCGGATGAAAAGCTGTTTGACCACGCCACAAATCCTGGTGCCCCTGACTTGCTTAGAGATCCATCCAGTTGGAAAGACACCACCTGTCAACATAAGTTTTGGACATTTCCACTATTAGAATGAAAAACAGATAAAGTAAGCTTAAGAGCCAGATGCGCATGAATTTAAATTGAGTGATTGTTTTCTCTCTAGGAATTTCCGACACATGTCTTCCGGTGTTCCTGTGGTTTTGGTGATTCAGATCGGACGCTTGGCCAGGAGGCTGGGGTCCGAAAGTATCTGGGTTTATATGGCCATGGTCGATCTTTCTGTTCCTGCTTCCGGGGAGAGACGAGCGCGCGGCGCGGCAGGGGCGCCCTCCATCCTTCAGTGGTGCTGTTACCAGATCAACAACACATCCCACGGGCAGCCGTAACACTCCACCCAACGACACAACGGCCGACACACATCCTCAATCGCCTGCCATCATCCGCTGAGCCCAGGATCCACACAGCTTTGGGGCAAACATTGTCTAGCAGGGGACACCACAGAAAGTCGTAGTGTAACATGTCTTAATAATGTGTGACCCACATGAGAAAACGCCAATGAGCAAAAAACAAGGTCTAAAAACCGTCGATAACGAAGTTTTAACTTGATTAACTTCACGTAAATTACTATATACATACAACTAAGATATGTGCCGGAAATTAATTCTACTCCACTACGCAAAGGGAGACGGACTCTCGCCCGAACCTTCCACCCGCGACCCCATCGGCACACACAACAACGTACCACTAACACGTGTCCTATCATTCGCCAGAATACCTTTCATATGTCTTGATCCATACGTTTGAGACAAGATTTCCACATCAGGACACTCACCACTGCACACTTACACCATCTCTGGTCCGTATGCTCCTTCACTCCGCCCTGCCACTGCGTAGGATTCACACACAACCCTTATCATCTGTAGTCTCACAACTACATGAAACCAACCGCCATTTTCACGGTCATTCCGCCCACATGTGTTCTATAGTTTGATTATCAGATAAAAATACTTACTTAATCGCTTCGGATCCAAAAATATACCGACTTACACAGTTCACCTGGCTCGCAAGTGGCGCGCGGTCTGGATACAAGCGAAGCTATCTTCTACTTCTATGGCTCTTGTTTTGGCATAATGACCTGCAGGCTATGACTGCTGCTGAACCTCGCATATTCACTCTATATATTTCGCTAAGATCTTTTTCTGTCCACCAAGTTCATAGTATTGTCATGTGCTGTTGTAATAACTATAAGTTTTCTTGATATTATTCACCAACACTGCCAAGGAAAATGCTGATCCTTATATACATAATCTTTATTATACATTCTTACCGCTTCCTTCTCTTTTCTCCGAAATTTAGGCTGCGTCGTCTGTGTTTGCTTCTCCGTTTCCTGGACTCAGAGTCGTACCACTACCATTTTTCTTGTTTTGTCTCGTGTTTGTATTTTCTCGCTCTTTCTCTTTTTTCTTTCCTTCTTATAACACACCAAAAAAAAACAAAAACCACCCACCACACCCCAAACCACCCCACACACCACACAACCACAGACACAAACACAACCCCACCACCACGAACCAACCACCACACCAGCCGAAAAACAACCCCAACAAAACAAAACACAACCAACCCCACAAAAACACAAAAACACAGACACCCACAAACACAACACCCACCACACACCACACCCCCCGCCACACCTGCGCGTCAGCTGGCACGGGACCATCTCGGTAGTTCCTCGCGATAACATGCTCACCTGCTTGCCGCCACCGCAGAATGGGAAACACAGTATACTGAGCTTGTTCAGTACAACTGATCCATCATGACTAAGATGAAGGTAGATCACACGATATAATCCTAAATTATTTAATCGTTAAAGCATCTTTTTAAACTAAAAAAACTTGTCACGACAAAAAAGCACAAAAATCATTTCACAGTCTACTCTTCAACTTAAGCTAACAAGCAATGCATGAAAGATACTCAACAAGAAAAGTACCTGGTGATATTGATATTTATATAGCACACAATACAACAAAGTAAATATACTCACTACAAGAGGATTGTTCTATTAACATTTTAATTTTTAAGTAGCACTATTCATC